CCATGTAAACGCAAGGCCTAAGTGACCAAATATTTGACAGACCAAATATTCGGCCGGCCCCATGTAAACGCAGCCTTACAGTAAATACAACCCAGATGCAGAGATTGGGGTCCAGTTTCTACTTTCAGAAACACATGATAGAAATTTGATCAACTGGCTGAGCCCCTAGAGGAGGGAATGCCCTTGGCAGCTAAGTTTAAGCACACCCCTCCCTTCATTCCAATGCTAAGTGAAGTACTTTCAAATGCTCTATTCAATCGTTCTACTATCCTTAGTCCTTAGCAAGACTTTAAATGTTCATTACCAAAGATGTAGATGTTCAAACTGGGCCTGTTTTTTTGTTTTACTATCCAAATGTCTTCGGTTTCTGTAGGCCTTCTTGGTCGTCTAGGCTCATGACATCAGACAGGAGCCCACAGGGAACTGCAAGGCTTGCATATTTGCTTACATAGCTGAGCAGCTGGCAAGGACCATTATTCTGAGCTGCAAATGCATCTCTAACTTTACTTAAGTTTGTGTCATAGTTGATAAATCTTATTGAATTTTTGGAAATATATGCGAGTTTTTTAAAAAAGATTGGATTTTCATCATCAGCTAAATGGATTCTTTTCCTGTTTGAAAATAATTTAATTGAATGGAGTACTTACACACTCATCATTTTTATAAGAAACAAAGATCAATTTTGAGTAATCCAGTTTCTTAATGTTCTTGAAATTTCAATACTCATTGTTTCTTAAGAGTTTCTTAATTATGATTTCATGAATGATGTAATGAAAGGTTTGTGACCTATTTTAAGACCTCAAGAGATGCGCTTCCATTCTGATACTGAATCTGGATGTGGGAAGTATATTTTTATCTCTTGTGTCTTTAGTTCTAGGCCAACAGGGCAATCATCTTCCTGGATTTAACAAAAGTTTGTTGTTCCCAGTTTTATCACGGTTTAAAGGTTTCTTAATTTGTTTACTTTGAGTAGTGAGGTTTCTCGATTTTTTCTGACTGTCGAGTACTCTTTTCTTATAGCCAGTTTTTTATTATAAAGATGAGTGTATGCA